TGAGTAACAGCCCGGTAATTCTGGAGAGTGACAGGCATGGGTTGGAGAGAACCAACAAGGCTTGGGTGCGTGTTACGGATCTGATGGAGTTCAACCTGATAACTCGCATAGGTTGCCATTGAGCGCACTGGCTGGGCCGCCTTCAACAACAGCAGCGATAACTAACCACTAGCAATCGTAAACCAGTTGTGATTGGCCTCAACAACCTGAGCTAAGGGAGACGGTGTGATGAGCTATACGGCATTTCATCATTCCAAATGTGATATATATATATAGTCACGGGAGGTAGGGAGTCTTCCCACCCAAGCTCAAGTTAACCCTGCGATTCAAAGCCCTTACGGGAGCCATAGGAGCCATGTATCCTAGTGAGATATAATGGGAGAAAAATAAAGAGGATGATCCCTTTAAAAAATTAGATGGAAAATATTTACAACCAGAATAGAACCATAGAATTTCACAGCACAGAAGTAGGCCAATCCTTTCAATCCCATTTACCAGTGTTTTCCAGATAACTATGTAGTTTACTCCTTTGCACAAGCATGAGTCTGAATTCATGTCTCAGCATGTCAGAGGTAGAAAGATAACATACCAGAGAAGCATAAGGGCTTGTCAATCAGTGAACCAGCTTTCAATGAATTTGCAGTACACTAAAATAAGACAGTAATCCATACACATTGGATCTTATTGTACTATAAGTCAGTTGCATAGATAATTAGTTGGTTAATCAGGCAGAAGCTGCTTTATCATTATTACTTTGCTTTCGTAAACCTTCTTTAGAATTTTAGTTGGCAAATTGCTGCCGGAAATTGTTGTGGAATATTTCAATACATTTGACACATTCTACAATAACTCTAGATGTGACTCACTTTATGGCCAGAATGGGTAGATCTTCTACATGCTGTCGCGTTTGGGTAAGAATTAGAAATTATGGATTGTCAGATGCACTATTGCTGATCTGCAGAACTCCACTCCGATGTTAATCGCAGTTCCAACTTCTGTGGAACTGTCAGAGGGTCGACAATTGGACACATTGACACGTTGGAGATTTGCTATTTACAAATCCTTTTGCAGATCTCACAATTTAGATTCTTATAATATTTGCAAATTCATCTGGATTTTAATGTATTGCCTCATTTGAAAATGGCTATGTCATGCTTCAGAATGTAATCTGAAATGGTGCAGTGAGAAGCATGTATTCCTTAAATACGATCCTGGGGGTGGGGGATTAACGCTGCAGGCTCAGCCTGTGATGTGCTGTTTCCTTATTACTGTTGACACACTGCAAACAGGCATATGAAACAGTTATTAAAAAATCTTTGCTTTTCAAAGGTTGTGTTCGTATCTCCACCAAACGAAGGCTGAAAATCCTTCTGTTTATCTACACAGATATTACAGGCAATTAGTCTTAACACAGAGATGCTAATCTTGTGGCTCACCTTGGAATATGTTCCTGTATTTCCTGCCTCCACCCTCGGCTCCAGGTCAGGACAGCAGTGGTCCTGGAGTCGAGGGTGGAGGCATAGAGGTAGAGTTGACACCATGTCTGAGAGCAGGTGCGTTGAAGAGAGCAATATGGAGAGGGATGGAAAGAAAGACATAAAATTTGTTAATATTAATAATAATAGTAATAATAATAATACTTATATTTTGTATAGTGCCTTTCACGTTGGGAGGACAACCCAAAATGCTTCACAGAATCCAACAACAACAACAAAATTACATTTGTATAGCGCCTTTCAAGGGAGCGGGACGGATGATAGGGGGTTAGTAGGACACACAGGTAGGGGGGAACAAAACCGTGGAGGGCTTTGAAGGTGAGGACCAGGATCTTGAACTGTGATGAGAAGCCAGTGGAGTCGGGCAAGGATGGGGGGGTCATAGGGTCGTGGAGCCCAGTGCAAGACAGGACACGGGCTGCAGAATTCTGAATGATCTGCAGCCTATGGAGCGAGAAATTGGGGAAGCCGACAAGCAGGGAGTTTGCGTAGTCGAGCCTGGATGTGATGAATGCGTATATGAGGGTCTTGGCGGCCTGTGGTGTGAGACAGTGGTGGAGCCGGGCAATGTTGCGGAGCTGGGGGAAGGCAGAGCGGGTTATGTCACGGATTTGGGGTAAAAAAGGACAGTTGTGGGTCAAACAAGATGCCAAGGTTCCAGACTAGCCCAGTGAGGTGGAGGGTGATGCTGTCAGTGCCTGAGGTGTAGATGCACTGACAGGAGCCAATCAGGAAGACTTCGTTTTTTTTTACTTTCAACAGTAGCAAGTTAGCTCTCATCTAGTACTTGATGTCTGACAGACATTCCATAGTGTGGAAATTGACAGAGCCCTGAGGAACGTGGCACGAGATGATGTGGGGGCTAGAGGAGAAACCGTTTTTGGAGATGAAGTGGAGAAGGTGTGAGAGGCTGGATCTGAACCATTCAAGGACAAAACTATGGTTGAGGTGAGAGGACGTTCGGTGGAGGAGGATAGAGTAGTCAACGGTATCAAAGGCAGCCGAGACGTCAAGGAGGATGAGAAGGCCTGTGGAGTCCTGTAGCTCAGTGGTTAGAGCACTTGCTTTGCAAGTGAGAGACCTGAGTTCAATTCCAGCAGGGCGAAGCCTTGGGCAAGTTTCCTTACTCCACACAGAGCATAATAATAATCCCTCCAAAACCAAAGACAATAATTAAAAAATTGGTCATTTTCAATCTACGACTGTTTGTGGGACATTGCTGTGCGCAATTGGCTGCCGCGTTCGCCCACAAATATATACAGTCAATTCACTTTACAGTGTGTTCTGTGAAGCGCTTTGGGACGTCCTCCTGACGTGAAAAGCGCTATATCAAATGCAAGGATTATTATTATTATTATTATAAGGCAGAGGAAGGCCTAGTCGCAGATGGACATAATGTCATTTGTTACTTTGACCAAAGCTGTTTCTGTGCTGTGGGCGGCACAGAAACCCGATTGGAGGTGTTCGTGAAGGGAGTGGCGGGAGAGGAAGCAGCAAAGTTTGGAAGCAACGACTCATTCTAGGTCCTTGGAGAGGAAAGGGAGGTTGGAGATGGGGCAGTTGTTTGAGAGCAGTAATGGGTCCAGGGAGGGCTTTTTAATGATAGGAGTGATAACAGCCATTTTTAAAGGGGTGGGAACAATGCCAGTGGACAGAGAGAGGTTTATAATGTCTGTGAGTAGAGGGGCAAGGAGGTGGAGCTGGGAAGTAAAAAGAGGGGTAAGGATGGGGTTGAAGTTTTGGAGGGAGGGATGGGTAGGCGCCGGGGTATGAGGGGAAGATGGGGAGGGAGTAGTGGTTGGAAGGGCAGAAGTAGCTGAGCGGATTCCCTTGATTTGGGTTTTGAGGAAGTCCAGCATCTCTTCGCAGTTAGTGTTGGAGGAGAGGATGGGCAAGGCATGAGGGGGTGGCCTTACGAGCCAGCTGGTGATGGAGAAGAGGAGTCTGGGGTTGTCCTTGGCCTCCAAGGTTGTCTTGGAGTAGAAGGACAAATTATCAGAGGCGTGGGTGGAGTGGTAAGATTTGATGAGGTCCAGCCAGATCTGCTGATGGACTGTTAAGTTGGATTTGATCCAGGTGCGTGTAAATAATGTAAGTAGTACATATAGAATACAGTGTAAAGTACAGTAGATGTGCTTTGTGGGCAAACATGGGAGCCAATTTGCGCACAGCAGTGTCCTACAAACAGCCATGAACTGAGTGACCAATTTATTTGGGGATAGTTGGTCAAGATAAAAATAACTACAAAAATAAGTTAAGCTAGCTACTAAAAAGTAACTTTGTAACTATGTGAAATATGTGATAAATAAAAGTATTGTGAAATAATGAGCTTTCATGAGTGACAACTAGCCAAATCCTGAGTTATCTTTTTTACTCTAAATTGAATCATTAGAGTAACATTTGTAGTATTGGTCAAGGAAATGCTAAATTAGCGCTAATTTAAGAAACACATAAGGAATCAATGCCAAAAACCATTTATAATCATTTGTTTTTAATACTGTAATACCGACCATACCATTCAATGTGTTTTCAGGATTTGCCTACAGCTTGTTCTGTCATCAGTGACTACAATCAAAGTCAGACAATGTACTCTAGTCGCTGGAAATCTGAGGGATTAAATAAACTAATTTATACAGTAGTAATAATATTGCTGAATGCTCCTGTAATAAAAGCAGCAGTGGTACAGTACGATTATATCAGTCATGTTACAAAGCCCAGAAAACACAGATTTTTGCAGGCATTGCAAAGTCATTCAAAATGGTTGACGGATCAACATGCAACCTTTAATAAATATGTTTGTCAGATGTTCTTTGAGGAAGATGGCCAGCCTGAAACAAATATTATCCAGCTGTAGCTGCTCAGCCAAGGATGAAGTTCTTGGCCTGATGATGGGGTACTTGGTGAACTGGCAGGAATACTGTCAAAAAGAAGACAGA